TCCGGCCGAGGGGGGGTGGAGTGGACTGGAGCTGTGTGGGTAGAGTCTGGGTTGTGGGCTATGGAGAGTGAGATCAGGGGACGCACATCTGGATTCCTGTGCTGAGTCATTCCCTAGACTCTGGACTACCGCTTTCTCCGCCTGCGAAATTTTTGGCTTTTGCCTGAGGGGGAAGCAATTGCCCCACCCTGCTAGAAAGCCTCTCCCCCTTCCCAGAGGAGTTTCTCCAGCCTGAGGCTTGTTAAGAGACTGATAACTAGCAGCCCCACCCTGTGGAGCTTCTAGAGCTTGAGGCTCATTAAGAGAATCCGATTAATCAGTCCGCAGGCAGAGGCAGGCCTCAGGATGCTTTGAATCTTTGCCTGATCTGCTTCTGGACCTGGGCCTTAGAAAAGCAGACTTTGGTTTGCATCTGCATCCTGTCCAAATGCACCCAGCCCCAGCAGTGGAGACCTCAGGCCTACCTAGGGTTCTTGATAGCTCCAAACAGGGTACTCAGGGCCAGTCACAAACTGCGTCTGACATTGGCCTGAACCAGAGACCCTCCAAAAAGTCTGAGAGTCCTAGCAGATCTACCTAACACTTAAAAACAAACCCCAAAAAGTAGTCAAAATGGGGAGACCAAAAAACAAGCCCCAAATGAAAGAACAAGAGAAGCCTCCAGAAAAAGAGCTAAATGAAATGGAGCTAAGCAATCTATCAGATATAGAATTCAGAATACTGACTGTAAGGATGCTCAACAGCATGAAAAAAGATATGGAAACTATGAAGGAAATTAAGAATGACATAGCAGAAATAAAGAATACAGTGGAAGGAATAAACAGCAGATTAGAGGAAGCTGAGGATCAGATCAGTGAATTAGGAGACAGGGTAGAAAATACTCAATTAGAGACCCAAAAAGAAAAAGCAATTAAAAAACAGGAGGACAGTCTAAGGGAGCTGTGGGGCAGCATGAAATGTAACTACATTCCTATTATAGGAGTGCCAGAGGAGGTCTAAAGTAAGCACGGGTTAGAAAACCTGTTTGATGAAATAATGGATGAAAACTTCCCTAACATGTTCAAGGAAAAAGTCACACAAGT